TTAGACGCCTCAATTCTACACTATTTTTGGTAATGTTAGTGGAAATGAGAAACCTCTCTCACTCACATCCTCAATTGCCTCAAAATCAACCTGCTTCCAGAGTTGCGTCTTCCAAGAGGTCACATAACTTTTGAACGTTTCTACCAAATCCCACATCTTCTTGTTTGCCTTCATCTCCCTACGCATGGCCTTCAAATCCACGTAATTGGGGATGTCACGAACGTCAAAGGATTTGGCAGACACCTGCATTGCAGCCACGCCTCTTTCCACCTCACTTAATCGAACATCCCACTGCAAGAAGTGAAAGTGAAGGGAGTAGAAGTGCGAGTTGACAAGCAGTTGTCAGGGGTGGAGTGCAATCTACTCACCATATCAAGTTGACTGTAGGCATTTGGACATTCATATTGGAAGATATTTGATTCTGCAAACTCACGTCGCATAGCCGACGCCTGTTCATCGTACTCTGTGCTCAGAGCTCGGATATTTTGAACTTCTCTCTCTTGAAGAGGCTGTACTTTTTGTTTTGTAATCACTGAGAAGTTTTTCAACTCATTCCATTGGGCAGGCAACACCTAGAAAGTTGTCTATTAAAATTGCCTCATTCAACTCACTTCCAACAGTTTGACCACAGACTCCGGCAACTCCTCACCGAACTCCTTCAACAATGCAACAGTCTCACGCAGTGGATCAAATCCAGCATCAGTTGCAGCCTCTGCGTCCCGAACGAGCTTTAGACGCTCCAATATTGTCACGAGTTTATCGTAGTCCACCTTCTCAGTAGCCACCTTGAAGGAGAGATCCTCATTGCTGTCATGAATGAAGGAGCTGAGTCCATTCAAAGTGTTAGTCACGTGATCTATAAGGAATTGCTTAAATTTATCACTCCATTGACGAATCTCTGTGAGTAGTGCCACTTTAAAAGGCTTCAAATCTACACGCATCCAATTGTCAAAGATGTGTGCATCTTCCAACTTCTCCACATCCTCGAAGACCTTGTCATACTTGAGAATAATCTCTCTAAATTGATCGAGAGTGGGTGGATGCTCTGGTGCCGTTATGTCTCCATTCATGTCAATGTCATCGCGGGTTAATAGGCGTCCATAAAGACAGAATTGACGAATGAATTCACGTCTATCCTCAGCCCAGTAGAATGCATAATTCGATTCCAAATTGGCCTGATATTCCGAGGCTGCTCGCATAACTGCATTCACATGATCAGTTATCTTCATGATGAGGTCTGCAATCTCGGGCGTTTGCATCACTTGATAGGAAAATCCCACTCGATCTTTAATAGTTTTGGAGATTCGAGCACTCTCATCTGAAGCTCTAGAGAGGAGGCTTTTACTCTTCTCCTCTTGTGCCACAGAAGTGGAGGCTTCTTCTTCATCCTCCTTCTTCTCATCGTCTTCATCTCTGCCTTCTGCCTTCTTATCTGCCTCTTTGTCATCACTTTCACCCTCAGCCTCTTCTGCCTTCCTCTTCTCTAGAGCTTCTGCCTCTTCTCGGGCCTTTTGTTCAGCGGCTTCGCGTTCTGCTTTGATGTCAGGCAAGGGAGGGTGACTGGAGAGAAGAGGAACCAAACGTGATTGGTCGGTAATGTCCTGCACCAAACTATCCATCAGATCCATTAGACTCTCGCCTTGTGCCTCGTGCATGGCCGGTGTGAATCGTAGTTGAGTGCCCTGGAAGTCAAGACAGTGAGGTTTTAAATAACAGTTGCCCCTTCTACTTCACTTATACGTTTCAAAGCTTGACAATTTGAATAGATGTGTGAAGATGTGATTAAATTGGCAACATTTGGAGTTCCAACTGACATCGATGATGAGAGATCCCTGCATTAGTGGCATCTCAGATTTCGACTTGTCTGTGTGATCAGAGATGTAGGCGAGGCTGCAGCGGACGGCCTCCGTCAAGCCTTCCAAAATCACATCCTCCATCGCCTCTTGATAGGCTGTCCACTCCACTGAATCCGGTGTCGCCTCGTAGAGGTACATGTTTTCCTAAAAAACCAATAAATATCTCCTTCAGCCTAACTATAAAGAGGCCTCCATTTCATAACTTCTTGTGGAATAACAAAACGCCCTTTCAATTGTCCGGATTCTTGGATGTATCTCCGTCTTACTACCAGTCTAAGGGGCTCTCAGCCCCTTCATTCCCGACTCCTAAGTAGCTGCAGAAGCTTAGAGAATCCACCACTTAACAATGATGCACAGCTACTTCCATCCTCCACGCAAGTCTACGAGGATTCAAACAGCATACGTGGGTAAAAATTAAAAAAAAAAGAAACAAGAAGAAAATTACTGCCACAAGTCGAAGAATCTTGTCTGCCGCATC